AATAATAATAATAATAATAATAATAATAATAATAATAATAATAATAATAATAATAACAATAACCTCGTCGGCTCCTGCAACTCGATGATGCAGAAGAAACGTCTCCAGTTGATAAGGCAATCGTTTAGCTGCGAGGCTCTCACCTTGAATTACTACTAAATTTAAAAAACAAGAAAAAAAAAAAAGAATAAAAAAACAACGTGATTCATTCCCGCAGGCTCGACACCGACAAGGATCGCATCAGGCTGAAACTGTACGTGCCCCGTCTGGAGATGAAATCCGATTACAAAATGGAGGGCAAGATCCTGATGCTGCCGATTACGGGTCAAGGGGCGGCCCTCGGCAACTACACGGACATCGACGTCGTGGTGACGATCCAGGGCGAGCGCTACCAGGACCGGCGAACCGATAACATTCACTTCCGCGTCCTCGAGTTCTATTGCGACTTTGACGTCGGGCACGCGAGCATCCACCTCGACAACCTCTTCAATGGCGACGAGACGCTCGCCGACGCCATGAATCTCTTTCTCAACGACAACTGGAAGACCGTCGCCGCGGAAATCAAGCCCGCCCTCGAGGACACCGTATCCAAGCTATTCAAGAACTTCTCCAATAAGATATACTCCAAGTATCCAATCGACACCCTCTTACCGCCCTAGACACCCTCAGCCCCTTTCCTTGAATATTGCTCTTTATACTTTTGTACTATCGAGGTGAAAAATAATACTATTTTCGATTTTTGTCCTATCCATCGTTGCTTCATTTACCTCTGCGCAAACATCGACCTACTTCGGGTATTATTACTATTATTATCATTATCATTATCATTATTATCATTATCATTATCATTATCATTATCATTATCATTATCATTATCATTATCATTATCATTATCATTATCATTATCATTATCATTATCATTATCATTATCATTATCATTATCATTATCATTATCATTATCATTATCATTATCATTATCATTATCATTATCATTATCATTATCATTATTATCATTATCATTATTATTATTATTATTATTATTACTATTATTATTATTATTATTATTGTTATTATTGTTATTGTTATTGTTATTGGTACGTCGTCGTTGTAACTGCTGCATCTACGGTTGTCGTTGTCATTGTTATTGTTGTTATTGTTGTTGCTGTTATCGCTGTTGTTGCTGTTATCGCTGTTGTTGCTGTTACCGCTGTTGTTACAAACGAGCTATTTAATAATTGCATTGTAAGTATATTAAATTTTGTTATCATACATCTATTGACCATTAATAATTGATACACCCAATTTAAAGAATTAAAAATTCCGTTATCTGGCATCGATTAATTATCTTATTCTATAAGTATTATTTCTCTACAATCAAATAAACAAATTCGCAAACCGATCACAGATTTCTTCTGCTCTGCTGATTTATTATGAAATTTCAACCGAATAGTCACAATGACCATATGTGGAATTTTCCAATGGTTTTTTTTTCATTTTCTTTTTTTTAGCGAATGCACAAACATTAAGAAGACTTTAAAAAGTCATACATTGTTTCGCATATATCTAACAGATTAGTCAGACTTTTAGATTCTTTTATAAAAATAGGTATCGACGTTAGTCTAAATACTTGCGTGACAACAAGTCCTTGACAGAAATTTTATTCTCAAAATGAAATTAAGGATTGTAAATTTATTCAGTCAATGCTAAACTTGAAGCGCTTATTTCTTTAAATTACATACAATGTACACACACACACATACATACATACACACATACATACATACACACACACACACATACACACACATATATACGCATACGCACGCACGCACGCACGCACGCATATATATAAGAATTTTTCAAATTTAAAACATTATTGGCCTAGATTTTTTTCTGCTCAGCTACTCATGTTTATGTTTATAATGGAAAAGTCGCAGAAATTAATAAAAAATACAAGCTCTCATCTAACGTATTAATAATTAAATGGTTAATTGTCTTTTAATATGTGCCATTCAAACTCAACAAGCATTATAATTATTATTCGTCGATATTAAATAGCGACTTTGATGTTAAAAATCACCCACAATCCGAATGCTTTACTATAAATATTAAAAATATAATTTCTTTCAAGTCGTTTATCTTATTAAACAGAAAATTAGGTCAATTTAACATTGACCTAACTTAAATAATAACTTTGATCTTAAAAATTGACAATAACCCGAATATTTTACTCTAAGTATTAAGAATATCCTTTCTTATAAGCCGTTTATCTTATTCAACAGAAAATTAATTAGGTTAATTATGAGACACATATGATTAAATATAAACAATTCGTAAATGTAAATTTGTAATGACCAAGTGTAAATACAATTGGATCCAACAATAATTTACTACATTCGAATGACACTATTTGTTCGGTTAGTGATCACCTATTACACTTTTATCAAAATATCAATCACTTTATAAATACTGCGTGACTAATCAGTGGGAATTCATATTCATCTAGCATAAATCACACATCTCGTTATTATAAGAAAATCATTTCTTCCATGTTCGGTATTAATGAGAAATTGGTATCCCACTACTATGCTCAATCGACGTACATCAGTGCGTGTGGGTTGCCATAAAGAAGGCGCGCTACGCGCAAATTTGCACAATTTCACGATAAGAAAAGGAATTATTAGCACAGACTCGATTGGATACTTGTCGAGAGGAGGGAGATGGGTTGAGAATGAGAGAGTAAAGCGGCCATCACAATGCGCCTTGAATCCCTGGCCGTTTTCTGCAAATATGTGCTCCGTAGAATCGATTTTGCAAAGTTCCACGAGAGCTTGAACCTCGGCTAGGATAACGCAAGAAACCAATTTCGCAAGTATCTTGGGATTTTCGACTACTTCGGAAGCATCTTATGTAAGCCGCTGAACGTGGACTCGTGGATAATTGGGAGTTTAGGGTCTAAATTGAGGATCCCATGTTTCTTCACACAGCTTCGACGCACCGCATTCTTTATAAAAAAGAAAGAAGAAGATTTAAAAAAAAAAAGACGACCCATTACTCGAATCGAGCAGCCGCTAACCGTACCTCGTCTCTCTTCCGCTATTTTTAAATAACAAATAGAATGAGGTGTAGGAATGATCTATTGCAATGCCACACACGTAAGTTGCTCGTTATTCCATAATATGCTGGTAAGATATTTCATCAACCATACCAATTTCATAACAATCATTTATTGAAAATACAATGCTGCTACGGGAGAAACTTCTTTTTAATTAGTACTAATATTCATAATTCTATTTATTTTTAAACAATTTTATTAAATCATCGCTGTCTATTAGTATCAAGATACTCGTCGTATTTATCGATCATTGTCGGATCGTTGTAACGACTTATTATTTTTTTGTTTTGCTTTGTTTTGTTTTTTATATAGTAAGGAATTATGTTATTATCGTTCGTTACTATAAATTTGAATTATGTTAATTAGTTAAAATTTCCGTGTTATTGTTAACGGAAGTAAAAAGCACAAGGGCGTTGCGAATGTCCTTTAGCCTTTGTTTATTATATCAATTCAAATGCTCTATAGAAATTTTCAAGCGTAACTTTTCGGCAATAGTCTATTAGCGTAAAATGTAAATAAAAAATTATTAAACCCTTCGTAGGGTTGTAGGATCTGTTTCGATCCACGTGTACTCGTTACTTTTGATTGTTATAATAAGGATGTGATTGACCTCGCGATATCCTGTGAGCTCAAACAATCGGATTGTTCGAGCCATAAATTTATTAACGCAACAAATTATGTTTGAAATATAGATCAATTTTTTAAATAACGTCAGACAATTACTTTCTAATGGACTTATTGTATAGCTACTAAGAAATTGTTTAAACATTATTAAATCTAATTTTTAGATTAACAATTAATAATAAGGACATTGAAAATTTTCTTCATCGAATGAATTTCTTTCATCGCTTCGGCCACATTATAAATGAAATGTATAGCGACAAAATAAAAATATTTCATAACTATTTTCATAAATATTCATCATTTCATTCATGTGTATGGTTAAGTTAATCGATATAATTGTTGATTTTAATCAAGTAGGTGATCGACACTTTATGAATATAATACATTAAGAGTATTGACAACATAACAAATAGTTTTCTTTTTTGATATCGCCATGATCCAAATCGACATAAATAAAGCTGAAAATAAATTTTTCAGTTTTTTTTTTTTTTTTTTTTTTTTTTTTTTTTTTTGAAATTCCGATCAACTTAATTGAAAATACAATGCTTATCTACTCAGAAGCAAACTTAATTTAATTTCAATTATCAATAACTCCACTTCATTTATCAAATGTATTATGCACAAATTGCCCTATTAAACTAAATATCTTTAGATATTTATCGTGAGAAAATAAAGTAAAAGTATTTTATAACATAATAAATTGCCTACCTTGTTTCACTTTCACATTTGGACATTAAAAGAAACGTAAGTGTGTTAATTCCTATAAAACTAAAACTACGTTGAAGATAATTTTGAGGACAGTAACTGTAATATGTAAAATAATTTAATATTTTTAGCTAATCGAATTTCAAAACATTATAATATTTATTATTATCATTGTTATAATATAAATTTAGTAAGTAGAATTGGTATGTTCTACCAATATACGTTTATCAGAACGTTTGACATATTTTACATTTATTAGTACGAAAATGATATATGATTGCATCATCGTCGAAATATATTCTCTTCAGCATTGCTATACGTTCATTTTATGATGTTTATATTGTATTAACAAGTTTATAAATATTTCCCAAATTTCTGCACTGCAAAGACAACAAATTGTATTTTAAACGTGTAATATATTATTACTTTGAGCTTTATCATGAAATCTATCAAGAAAGATAATAATGCTATTAATGATGATTATGTTGTTAATATGAAAAGTGGACAATAATTATATTATTTGAATCAGCTTAGTATATGGTAAAAAAGACAAAATTAAATTATAGAAAAATTAAACATGGTTTTTTGATTATTTAAGCATGTTATTATATTTATTAAGAAAAATGTTATCGTAACAAAAGAATTTTCATTTATTATAATTTTTCAGTAAACATTTATGAGTAAATATTAGTAATATTTATCATTAAATATACCATTCATTCAAACGATATTATATAGAAGATAATGCGAAATAATTTAGTTTTCCATCCCGATCAAATAACTCGAATATCATAATGTTAATAAACTATTAACTCTACATATTAATTTGGCATTTTGAAATTGCTATTAAAACGATACAACAATCATTTATTTATATGTATCACGTAATAAATAAGTTTCAGGGAGAAAGCTATTTGGGTAAATATTACTGTGGAAAAAATTATTCAGTGCGTAGTAAACGTGGGATATTTCTAAATATATTACTGATGACGTAGCGAGATGTAATTGTAATTACTTTTGTTTTACTAAGAAAATGTTATGTAAGTTTATAGGCTTTATAATGCCTTTATGCAATTAATTTTATACACACACACACACACACACACACGCATACACACACACATTTATATATATACGCAAAACACACACGCGCGAACACACACGCGCGCGCGCCCAAAATGTAATTAGAACATTCAAATTAATATTTGATGCAAA